CTTTTTCCTTTGTGAAGGAATGTAGTTCCTTTGCTGTTACCCATGGACATCTGTGGACTAATCTTAGACCAGCTCTAAATTTTTGTCTAAGGAGTTCTTGTTGTGGTTGAGGTAGGAGGGGAAAGAGACAAAAGAGCCAGGCAAAGAAGGGGAAAGAAAAGGCAAAAAAGCATTGTCTCAAAACTGCGGTGGAGATTACTCTACTTTTTTTCAGCCATTTTAGTTTTGTGTAGGACTGTTGAACTTTGTCTAAGCAATGTCTAACGGAGTTACACATTGATAGTTTATTTGTCCATGAATAGCCAAGATATTTAAAGGATTTAACGCATTCAAGTGGGGTATCATTCATTGACACTGGTTTAAACGATGAATTGACAACTGTACGTCGTGTCTCAAAAGTGCATACCCAAAAATATTTTCTTTCAGATAACTTCATTATTGATTTATCTTTATCAACTGACTTGCCACGATCAATTTTTTATTTCTATAGATAACCTATAAAAGGGTTCTTCAAAGTAATTACCTTCAGCCAAGATACACAAATTCAACATTTCTTTTTGGGTTTCATAATAATATTTCGCAACGCTTATTTTTATTTTTAAATTAGTTCGATTTCTAGATTTATTCTAATCTTTAAATTGTTCAAATCTCAAACAGTTGTTTTTTAGGAATTACTTTTGATAAATATTATTATAAAATCAGAAAAAAACTGAATTCTTGTAGCTTGGCTAATGGTAATTACTTTAAAGAGAACTTTCAGAGGCTGTCCATAGAAATAAAACCTTGATGGTGTCACGTATCATACGAAACAATTTTCGAGTAGGAACGTTTTAGAGACTGTAAATGCTTTGTATCGATGTTAAAAGGCAGTTATTCCAAGAAGACTTCTAGCAGTTCTTAGGACAAGATTGCTTTCTTAGATTATTTAGGTTTTTATACTCATTCTCTCGAAAAACGAAATCTGACCTCATTTTCTCTTTATTCTTCTTTTTTTAAAAGCCAATATAAACTTCTTTTTGAAATATTAGGTAGCTGAATTCTCAAATGTCATTTATAATACACGATCACATAACAGTAAAGCAACACATATTCTGTTAATATAAGATTTAATGTTTATTCTTTGTATACGAAGAAACTCAAGTTTTATGCTCAAAATAACTGACAAACTAGATTGCCGCATGAATAAATCTGTAAGCATTAAGATCAATTCAAGGATTGGCTAGAGAGAATGGGAAGCGAATAATAATTGTCTAAGAAATTTTTAATACTTAGAAAACTGCAATCAGAATTGAAATTATTGATGAATATTTTGCTCAATTCACAATATTAAATTTATTTTCATTTTAATCAGTACATGGTATCGAAATTTTAAGTGAATTTTATCGAAAACAACAACGATGTTCTATATGAAGCAGAAACTATTGCAAGCTTCAAGTGTATTCTGCGAATGACAGAGTCATCTTTGAAAAAAATGTGTCTACCTGCTTTTCTCTTTATGTAAAGGGTTTTTTGTAGCATGTTCATCTATTGAAGATTTAAAGTTATTTTTATTGTTATAAGCGTATTCATAGCAAACTTTTCTCATTAAACGCTTTAACTAAAGAACACTTTTCGATATATTATCAATCTAATTCTTGATCATTGTAATTTGATTGATATCAGAACTATTCGAAAAAACTCATCATTACTAATAATATCCTAAATACCTTATTCTTTCTTTCATAGTGAAAGATTTTTTTTCATCAAAGATGTTTATCTGACTTGACTGTGATTATTCTCATACAAAGAATAAAGATATACATTACTTATACTGAAATATACAATGATTCCAACTATGAGCTAAAACTTAAGTTAATATTTAACCTAAGCAACTATTCGTTACATGAGATGGAACAGAAATAAACATATGAGAAGCGAAGAACGAAAAATTTTTTTTGTTCGTTTCTCGGTGAGCTGGACGCAGTAAAAGTCAGAACAAGAGAATAGTTGTTTCAAATGTAGATGATTAATGAATTAATCTAATTTTCTTTGCCGAACATACATGTTACACGTACATATTATTTCCTATTTTTATAACAGAGACAAGAAAAAGATTTTCGATACTGTATTATTTATGAGAAAAAGAATAATCTATATAGTCAATATAATATCTTAATATATAATGTTTTAATTGCTAGTGTCTACTTACCATATAAAAGATTTGAGCATCACTATTAACCGTTTGCTTATTAATGTAGTGCACAGTGTACAATCAAATCAGAGGTAACTTTCTTAAACTTGCAGTAAAATAAATTGAAGTAGAACAATAACATATTATAATGTTCTTTGAAAGACTCAATATAATATCTATTGCCAATAGTTCAATAATGAAAAACTATCCACTATAGGATTTGTTGCAAGTCTATCTTTGTCCAGCATATTAGCTTATTATAGTATGGCTGGAGCAAGTTTTAAAAAAACTTTCTTTTTGTCCTCATTCCATACTAGCAAAGAATGATATTTATTTTAACAATCTATTGTGTAACTGAAACACTGATGAAAAGATGAGGGGTTCACGAAAAATAAAAATCATCCCGTTTTGCTTTTATGTTTTCAAACCTATTACAGCCTTTAGTCTCTTTCATCATTTGAGCCCCTTTAGTGCCTTTAATTCCTTTACTACTTTTAGTCACTCACATCATAAAGACACTAAAAGGATCTAAAAGTATTAAAGAAACTAGAAATACTTAGTCTACTCAAATATTTCTAACATATTCGTCAGGTATGTAATCATAAAAGTAAAACGGGATCAAATTAATTTTTCGTGGACCTATGCCTTCTCGTTACTTTAACTTCGACTATTAGTAGTAGAAAGTGCTTTTTTTTTCATTCAAAATCCGCACATAAATAAGTAGTGTAGTTAATCTTTTACTTTTCATTAGTAATAAACGATCAAATATTAACACCTAATACTTCCTAAAAAAAATGAGAAAATCGATTATTCACTAGTGATTGTTATGCAATTTAAATAAATTCGATCACATATAGGTACGCAGACTGGTTCAACTGATCACTTACTACTCGTTAGCAACACATGAATAGTAAGTAATAGCTGCCGCCGACTAGCAACTATTATCTGTTTTCAGAAAGAAGGCCAGTGGGAAAAAGTACTTATTACGTTTGAAAGAATTGAAATAGAGATCTACGGTTTTCACCATTCGAGAGAGGAGATCAGGGAACATAAGCCTAAACAAAAAATAGAGTTTTCCCAGGCTATTGTAGGTAGAGCTAGTTAGTAAGATCAGTTTTACGTTGTCTTACAACTTACTTTCCTCTCTTTCCGTCATTCTATGCGTTTTCTCACTGATCTTCTTTCTGAAAATAGATAATAGTATGTGATAGAGACACTACTTACTAAGAACGTAACAATAGCATAGCTTTTTCCAATTACAGTTAAACGGAAAAACTCGTTTAAACTTTTTTTTATTCTGAAAGAAACACGACACTAAGGCGGTTTGAACGATTTTGATCATCATTTCGAGAGATAAACTATTAAAATGCTTGGAAAAAACGTTTGTAACCGGTAAATGTCTGCCTGGATGACGTGTCAACGTACGCATTACTATGTTCGAGGTTTGAATTTTTCAGCATTAACAAAATTCTTTTTTTTTCGCACTTAAACGCAATATGAATATCATCTCGTATATGCAAACACTTATCAAAAAATTAAAGTCATTTGATAACTGTATAAAAATGTGAAGTTTCAAGAGTACAAAAAGTAGCTTTCTTAATATATTCATAATCACCTATTTCTCATCATTCAAGCGTTTAAAATATTAAACAAAATAAGTATGAAAAATTTAGCATCGAAACATGCTGCTCATATTCATCTATGTTTGATCATTAAACGCTTGAAATATTTAATAAAGCATGAATGAAAAGTTAAGTTTCGAAACGCATTAATAATTATTTGAAAGTAATTGTATGAAAAAAAAAACGATCAAAAAACTTATTTTTTTCAAGCAGCAACACGATTATCAATTATCGCTTCAATCATTAAAATAAAAATGCTGTCAAAATATGCGTCAAACATTGACCTTCGTGAAATTTATACACGTATGAGAGAGAAGGAGCGTCGATACGCTCATAAAATTAACTTTCTAAACATGTACATACTGATATCTATTGGATAGGAAGATTTTGTACATGTTCACGCTTAAAGCTTGAATTTCCTGGTAAACGTTCAGAAAAGACTACTATTTAGTGTTGACACACGTTTTTAAAAAAACTTATCTGTTTGAATCGCCAACTAAATAAATGTTTAGAATAATAATAATATTAGATTAAGACAAATGGAACACGAAAATAAAAATAATGAGCGAATAGCAACAACGGCAAACAAAAAATAGAGCGATGGTTGTAAAAAAAAATCTCTGTTCAAAATACAGAAATAGATAAGACCAATCGTTTCTCTAATAATCGATTATCTTGGAAAGCAACTATAGTTTGCGAGAGATTTTTTCACTTTACATGTTTCAGTTTATTACAATACACTGATAAGAGACGAACATTACACGGAAATAGTTCTCTTTCTTTTTATTTAGAATATATGCTGTTAGTTTTATCACACGATAAGTTAGTATCACTTTATACAAAAATATGCAAGTGTCTGTCATATAATACGTATATCGGTCAAACAACCAAAGAAGAAACAAATTTCAATTGGATGTCGAGCATTTCACATTCTGAACTACTAACATAAATTTTCTCATTATTTATTATAGTGACAAATGTGAATTAGCGAACTAAAATTTTGTATACATGTCGGACAGTTTCAGAGAAATAACATATTAAAAAAATTGGTCCATAGCAATAAAAGTAATCGATCAAATACAAGTAAAATTTCAACCAAGCGAACAAATTATAATTCTCACATAAGTTTTTTTGACTATTTGTTTAACTACCCATCGTACATTTAATTCATACTAATACATACAATTAATTTCTTCGATTAACCAACTTCGATAAATTTAATCGTACTTAATTTATTACTAAAATGGTTTAAGTTAAGGATGATATTATTTGATTCATTCAAAAAATTGATGAAGATTCTCAATGGTTAAATCTAAGTAATACATCATGTTACTTTACAAACTGTAAAAATCAATCAATAATCATGAAAAAATCTTCTTTTATGAAAGTTCAAGTTTGATGAACGATCTTCTTAATGAAAATGTTCTATCAGTAGCAGATATATCATCCTATATTGATAGAAATATGCATGAAAAACAAGATGAATAACTATCTGTTCCATATTATTCTTGATGAAAATAAATAAGAAAACAATGTTATATTCATCATTCTATGACATTTATTATAGATCGAAAGGAATTTGTAATTAGCATTCAATAGTAACTTCGTGACTGTTAACCTTTGATAACATTGGGCATAGAATAATATTTTCTTTTTTGTTTTAACTTAAACTAATGACTTGATCTTATTAAAAAAAAAAATCCAAGTAGTCGTTCTGTCAAAACAAAAACAAAGGTTCTATTTTGATAATTTTTCAGACAAAATATCGAAAATATTCTTTTTTCTTTATTACAGAACAGAGAATAAAAGTTCAAAGATTCTAGTTAATATCACAAATCAATTTTTAGCAAATATTTTAGATATTTAATACTTATATAATAATAATTCATTATTTTTATCACACATTTCTAAGACGAAAAAAAAAAATATACAGATACAAATAGAAAAATGATACAATAATCCAGTACATATAACTATATTTAAATATGAAAAACAAAAAAAAAAGAAGACAAGAGAGGAAAAATTTATCACCGGTGTTAATATGACAGGAAAAAAAGCATAAATGATAAATTTTTTGTTAATTTAATGTAGGTAATTCAATACGAATAAAATTATCTTTTAGAAATATGACACGTAAATGAGTATAATCATATGTATAATCTCTTGGTAGACGACAAAAACGTGTTGTTGAACGTATTATAATTTTATTTTGTTGTTGTTCATATTGTGGTAATAAATTTCTCTCTTGTTGTTCAATAAAAATTTTTAATAGACTCAATTCTGGATCAGATTGTATACGAATTGAATCCATTAATGTTTCAAATGGTAAACGAAGATGATATAAAAGGAGAGGTGGAATATCATTTGTAAATGTATAATGTCCATCCCATATAGTTGGTGTAGGCGTTGTATTTAATGTGTTAAAACGATTGATTATATCACTTACACTTTTTGTATCTGTATATTGTTGTGATGATATTGTTGGTTCACCAATATGAACCACAGTTCGATTATTATTTAATGTTTCAATTCTGTTTACAGGATTATTATTATTATTATTATTAAACATTATTCGGTGATTGTTAGATATGAGTGACGGTGAAATCTTCTCTTGTTGCAGGTCTATTGAAAAAAAAATTCATGAAAATAATTTCAATAGAATTTAGTGAGAAAAAAAATATTTCAAAGAAAGATGAAGAGCACACCATGCTTGGCAAAAAAATAAACATCATATACACACGAACCGTGCTAAAGATAAAAAAAGAAATTCCTTTTAGGGTGATAATGCCCTACTGAACCAATCAGCCACTGCTTTGAGCTGACTTAGAAGTGCTGAAAAAAAAAACACTTAAGAGTTAATAAACACTCATATACACACACACACACAGAATTAGAAGTATTTAGTTAGTTTTTTCTTTTGATTAACTACCTGCTTGTTCGTTCACCGCGCCGATGATTTCGACATGTAATGTATTAGAAAATCGATTAGATTATAGAACAATGTGCATGTAAAACAAAACGACATCAGCTCAAGAAAGAATTTTTTTTTCTAGAAGTTTCATATTATCATTAATAAAGTAAACTCTTTTCTTTGTTTTTTATCTAATGTATTAATAAATAATCCTTGCTAACTGTTTAATAATACACAACATTGTCTAATTGACAAAAATAAGAATTCAAGTTATGATAATGAAAGTGAGTAATCAATTGAAAGATGTCCCGTATATGAATTTTTTTCTTGAAATAATTAAACGACTGTTTTATTTAAAGTTTATAATAAAATCTTTTTTTTTTTCATAATGTTTAGTTTAAAAGCATCCCATATTTTTATCTTTACTTATAAACCTACCTCCATCATTTCTTGTCGATGCTATAGTAGAATTTGTTGATGGTGCAGAAACGAGCGGTGGCGGTGGTGGTGGTAGTCGAGGTGAAGTTGATTGAAGCACTGAAGATGAAGAAGATTTTATTTCTTGTTGTTCAATTTTTCTCTTTCGTTTAATTTCTTCCCATGCCCATGGTTGATATTTTCCTTCAACAATTAATTGTCCATCTTCAGTTAAATAAGCAACAATTGTTTCATCATTAACAACATCAGGTACTAATAATTCAGTTTTAAATTCATGTTTACGATAATTTCCACGTTTATCTGTTGGTTCTATTGTATGACAATGTATTAAAATTTTTGGTCCTTCTAATTGTACACTTATATCTGATGTATCATATGTTTTACCAATAGGTACACGCATTTCATATAAATTTATATCACTATCATCAGATAATGAATCATTATTTGATGATGAACGTATTAAATTATTTGCTTTTTTCCTCGAATCATCAATAACATCAGTAATTAATAAAGTGGATTGTGTAAATGGTACAGGTTGATTTGGAATATTTGACTAAAAAATCATAACAAAAAAAGAAAGAAATGTTTGACTTTTTGCTTTTCTTTTAATAGATAGAAAGAAAAAACCTGTTCCGTTGGAATTTGACGTGTAGTAGGTGAACGTAATTCATCTAATGATTCACATGATGAACTAATTGATGGTTCTCGTCGTCTTTGTACAACAGGTCGAACAACAATTCGACGTGATGATTCACGTTTAATAGGTTGTTGTCGACGTAATTTACAAGAATTTCGTGCATCATTATAATCAGTTGATGATGGAGGAATACCATACATGGCATTATTTTCCAAAGATGGCGGAATACCGGTAGCCATAAGTGGGTGCTGTCAAAAAAAGAAACAACAACGTGCAACAAATTTTTTTCTTTTTCTTTTTCTTTTTCTATGCGTGTGCGCTTTGAAACGTCAACTTCCCTTGAGTCGTAATCGATGTTTGAGAAGAAGAAAAAAAAAAGAAATTACTTTTCTTTCTTTCATATTTGATGTATATTATTTATATATTTATGTATATAAATATATAGCTTCATTATTTTCTAACTTATTTAACATCATTTACCTGTAAATTGGTTCGAAATTTTGAATAATAATTCTGTTGTATAGTATCATTTATTGCTGATCGTTGATTATATGTAGGCTTGCAAATTTGAGGTGAAGGCGTTAAAAATACTGGTGGTGTATATTTGAGTTGATCAATTGAAGGCGATCGTGTATAATTTAAAACAGCTGAAGATGGTGGTTGTAGTCGATGATTATATCCATGACCATGTACTTCAAGCGATGGTAGAACAGTAAGATGAGGATTTGTTGATGAAACAAGATCAAGTGAACGACTAGTTAAACGATTAAGATTGGATGATGTTACACGTGCTTGATTTTGTAATTGTGCTAAATGTTGTTGTTGTTGTTCAATACGACGATATTGACGATCTAATGCAAATAGTTCTTCTACTGATAAACCCAATGGGCGTTGAGTTGACGATTGCGAAGAGGTGACCAACATGTTGTACTGTCTCTAAAGTAAAATTCACTACTCTTCGTCTATTCAAATAATATAAAGAATGAAACAAAACGAAACGAAAGAAAGAAAAAAAAAAAAGAGAACAACTTTCATTTTCTTTTGTCTCTCTTTCATTAAACAAACGAATAAAACTCAACCAACGAAAAGGATAGAAAGAGAGAAAAACAGAACAAAAGATGAGGTCGAGATGAGAAAAAAAAAGAAGAGAAGAAAAAAATCCAGAGAATCGCCATCTATCCAACTCGAAGAACATGCGCGACTCTATTTACCATTTCTGTATTCTGTTACTATGCTTTACGCCTTCTAATTACTTCTTAAAAGACGAGAAAGACACTCTTGTAAATTTATGCAATACCACGATCGCAGACTTTTGTATGTCTTGCATATAGAGAGAACAGTTGTGGATATATGTATATATACATATATAAGATGTTGAATTCTTGCATATGTATATACATTGATACTCATGGTATAAACATAAAAATGGCGACAATATAATATTGACAAGACATGGCTGACGCTAGCGACCGTCCAATAATCAAACGATAGAAAAAAAAGAAGAACTACAATGATGACAATGATTAACTGAATATACATAAACATATATTGTTAAAAGAAAAAAAAAAAAAAGATTATTTCGCGCTTCGTTTAAATGTCATTTACATAAAATGAAAATAAAACAAAAGGAAAAACTTATCTATATCTACCTTTATCTTGTTTTTAAAGATTACTGATATTTATAGTCCATCACGTGTTATTTTATGTATATATTTACTTTTTGTCTTTCTTCTGTGATCTAATATATCTATAACATATCTTATCATATTTAATAATTTTGTATTATTTTCCAAGACGATAGTCATTTCAATTGAATACGATATATATATAATTAACTCTATGTGAATTTCACACTCAACATCGACTAGATAACATAAATAATAATAAAAAAAAAAATTGTGCTTTTTTTTTTTCCTTCTCTTTGACATTACCATGGTTGATCGAATGTAATATCTTAAACGAAACTCAATTAACTCAGTAGGTGGATGTGAACAACATAAATCCGAAATAAGATAAAATAAAAATATGCCGGCATATCGATCACATGCTGAGTACATGTTTTTTTTTTATATCTACCCATGTCATATGTATAGATATGTATATATAAATAGAAACCAAATTCATATATAAACAATTCATTGAAAAATAGCATAATGTCGTTTGCACCATATTTATGTAGTACACCAAAATTTGTACCTGTTATTAATCAACCATCACATTATATTTTATCAGCTCCAATTATAATAAAAAATGAAAATCAACGACAACAAACTAAATCAAAAACTCATTCATATTGTCGTCCATTAAAAAAGTGTCATCGTTATCATTCGAAACAATCCAATGCAAGTACAGCTATCAATCGACAACAACATTTCGATAATGATATTACAATTCATAATAATCAACATATTTTTTTCTGTTTACCCTTTAATCTTTTTCATATATCTAAACGAAGACGACATGGACCATGTCATGTATAAAAAAAAAAAACAAAAAAACAAAAAAAATCTACATGTATATAATCTAGACTTCTGTTTTTTTTTTAGCATAATAATAAACGAAAGAAAATAACAACAAATAAGAATATCTCTGACTTATGTTTTTTTTTTAATTATCAGCTGTTTCTTGTTCATTTGATTTGTTACGTTCTTCAACAGAATCATCTTCATTTATCGATTGATTGGGATCTTTATTGACGACTTCTTGATTTTCTTCAATCATCCTAGAATAAAAAAAAATAAATTGATTGGTAAAGTAAAAGTTTTCTTCTAGGTTTCTTTTTTTTCAGAGAAGTTGTTTATAATGAACAACAATAGAAAAAAAAACAATTCTCTTGAAAATAGATTCATTTTTATTAACACTGTCTGGTTCGATTGTTTAAGTAAAAAGAATGCAATACATGTAATCCCATCTTCTGATTATTGAAGCATAGTTTAGTACGTGCGTTTGTTTTAAAAAAATTTTTTTTTTCATGTTTAATTCAAAATACTTCTTATTATGATGATCAGGATTTTAAGTATTCATTTATAATCCGCTTTTCTATTTTATTTATGGAAATATATGCATTTTTGTTTGATATATTCTATTTTGGAATTTATGCGTAATTTTATCTTTATGATAGACAAACAACATTGAAAAAGAAAAATGCTATTAATTGTAGAAATATTTTTGTTTGCAATTGTATATTAAAATGTACAACACAACATTACTTTCAACAAGTATGTTGTTAAGAAAATTATTATTACTGATGAGATTATAATATAAGTACTTTATTGCTTGTCATATAGAGATTTTATCATATATATATATATATAGATGTAGCACGTGAGTCTAGAAGTTAGTTGAGATTGGAGTAGTATTTCGTAACTCTGTAATAAAAGATGTCGAGAGTGTATAAAGAAAGAAAATTGTTTATTGTTATTATGATTTATTGTATTTTGAAGTTTATTTGATAATAGAGATGTGTTTAGACTGTTATTCTATATATATATAAACAATAATACGTAGACTATATTTTGTTCGATAGAATAAATATGTCGAGAATATTTTTTTTCTCATTTCAAGTACAGTAGGTACGTTGAATGATTGGTGAAAGTTTTTCGAAAAAATGTTATTTTTTTTTTCTAAGGCATTTAAACAGACGAGTAGGAGGAGTTAAAGTGGGCGGATTTCAAACAGTAGCGTAAGTAACGCGACATATATGCCTTATAATTATGACATTAGAGTATGATCAACGGCTGTAATCATTAATGACATTGAAAGTTAAATGTTTCATCTAAATACGACATTTGATGATATGCAATACATAATCATTGTTGATAAAATTTTGAGATCAGATTTTTTTTAATGAAAATAATCGACAGAAAACATTAGAATTTATTATTATTATTGTTTCTAATGTAACTTTATTTTGTGAGATCAAACTCATTGAGTTCATTGCGCTTCAAAAATTTCATGTTTACTAATAAAGGGATCATTTCAAGTCGATAATCATTTTTGAGTTTAGACTCTATGCACAACGTAGGTTTCAGTGATGTATAAAAAAGTTCAAAAAAGATGAGTACCCTTATGTCTTACCTCCAACATTATAGCATTACCAACAAAACAAAGGACGATGTTTCGCCTATCGTTAGATCTATTTGTAATTAGAATATTCACTAAATTTCACCTTTAAAGACAGTTTTTTTCACAAGATATTGAGTTTCTAAAAAAATACATTCATATGACATGAAAGATACGAAATTCTCATGTTTTTTTTGACAATTCAATATCTTGTGAAGAAAAAATTCTTTTGACCTAAGATTTTAAGGACATTATAAATCCGAAGTAGATTTATCAATGAACAAACTCTTGAGGGTGAAATATTGTTATTCGTTTTGTTAGTAAGATCATAACTCTAAGTGAAAGGTATAAAAATATATATCTTTTTAGAATTTTTCATACTTCACTTAGATGACTGTAAACTTAATCTAAAATAAATGTTAAAATTTATATGTACTTTGATTTTTTGGAAAGATCATTTGTATTATCCGATGCATCTGAATCACTTTTTGAATAAGAACGTTTTCGTTGACCAGTTGGTGAATTTTCTTTAGGAGATGAATCATCGAGTGCAACGACATCAGATGATACACTTGTATTATTACTACTTGTCTAAAATTAAGAAATAAAATATATCTTAAGGAAAAACCATAGAACATAACGAAAAGAAAACATACTGGTGTATTGATATTCGATGTTGATACTTGTTGTCGTTCAACAATTTGAATACGTGATTTTAATTCTTTACATAGATTATTACAATCATTTGCTGAGGCCTTGAAAAACAAACAAAACAAAACAAGAAAAACTCAATATTAATTTTAAATGAAAAATAAAGATCTTACTTTAATAATAAATACTCGTAACTGTGATTCATCTTGAGCACCAAATCGTACTGAACGATCAGTGGCTCGTTCAACAGTCATTTTTGGAAAAATAGGCGAATTAAGAATAACGCGAAATGATTTATCAAGTCTCATAACTAAAGAGAAAGAAAAACTATGTTTCTTAACTTAGAGAAAAATTCTTAAATTGAAATTTTACTAAACACAAAAAATGTATTAAAAAATTTAGATATGATTTTTTTTAAAATTTTCTACTAATTTATTGTTTCTATAAGTCATTTCATGTATGCTACGATACATTTCACATTTTTACTTGCATCATCAAGTAGTCCTTAACTTGACAGTGTTTTAAAAAAATGTTTGAGTATTCTTGTCAAGGTGATCTTCAAGGAAAGTAAATATTTGATTTTAAACTTAAAATTACTAAATAGTATTCATTTCATATATGTCAAACAATTTGATTGAGTACATATACCTATTTGTAGACCATGCCTGATATATTTTGTTACTCTATTGTATTATTTATAACAAAGTTACATAGAAATTATTTATTTGCTTTAGTTGCGATGCATGTGTAGACAAAATAGGAAGAACCAAAACTTTAGCTTTTGATTGAATTAGGTATATATTGAAAAAAAGGACCATAATATGCTTGTTTGTTGATAGATCACGATAGAGTCTGTCGTCAATCATAATTCGCTAATTCTAATGGATATAAAATTGTTGTCAACATATTCGATCGATCTATTTTTATATATTATCACATTTCTGTGTTTGAAGGTTATAAACAAGTTTGAATCATAAGACGTTGATTCAGGACATAGCGTTTCATTATCTATTCAAAGAAAAGTATGTGCATATTCTGTTGTAGGGATAGTATAAAGTATTTAACCTTAATTTTCCTTCTTCTGAAATTTGATGTGCCGCTTGATTTTGTGAGAGTTTACAAAAAAAGCTTTTGTTGAAAAGCATACATTTTTTTTTACTGTACTCTCTCAGGATTTTGTTGACTTCATTTCAATAGAAAAAGATAAAAGAAAATTGAATAAAAAAAAAACAGTTTAGCATCGTAAAGAATGTCTACTCTCGAGTAAAAAAAAAATTTCAGTTTTATGTGATGCATTGCAGCTGAGAAAGAGAGGCAATAAATGGTGTTTTTTGTAGCCTTTGAGATTTCAATATCTTCTACAAGAATGTATTCGAAAATAGAGAATTTATTCTATTCATCGAAATCTATTTGTATAAAAGTGTTAAATTTTTCTAAAATGCCGGTTTTTAGAAATTCCACTTCAATTGTGTATAACTAACAGCAGAACTTTTTCCTGATATCTTCAAATAGTTTGCCTTTTCGCCATTCTTCTTTTATTATAAACAACATTGCTAACATGACAGAATACAATATACTGGCTTTTTAATCCACATGCAATGATATTGATCATCAGCATTCTGATCTATATTGTTTTAGTAATTGTTCTATCCATGTATTCCTATTTAATTATTTTATTCCAAATTTCTATACGAAAAATTTAAGCTTCAGTGTTTTTTTTCTCAAAATGTTTCATTATACAAGATTTTTTGAAAATCCATCAGGAGAAAAATGTAAATAACTTTTGAATAATTCAAGCTACATACGTAAGCTTTCTATTATTTTATTCGTACTTGCTGCTCAACGTGCTTTTACATTAAAACAGAAACCTTAGATAGAATTTTCATTGAAATCATCGCATTTTTCTCATCGACTTCTCTTATTAATTCAATCCAGTATTTAATAGGCATCTTGCATACATCATTTCTCATGTGTTATCAAATAAACAATTCGAGCAATGCCAAGTCCAATGAGTTTGAAACTTATTGAAAAGAACTATCTTTTTGAATTCACATATCAAGGAAAATGGAGAGGTGCAAAAATATGAATGCAAAATCTTCTGTAAAAACTACATGAGCATTAAAACTTAAAATTTCACTGTTTAGATTGTCATGAAGTATCATGCAATAGTTGCAAAAATCTAGAGCAATTCAGGATATGGGTATAGTGTGTAGATCTATACTCCATCCACACTCACACCCTATGAGGGTAAACAGAAATATGGGTACGTATCAATTAGATCGAAAGAAAAAATGTCGAAGAGAATTATTCCAAAAAAAAAAACAAATTCGAAAATTTTCCGCGTGACTTTGTTGAGAGTACGGTGTGAGTGCAGGAATAGATATAAAGATAAGGCTAATATCTGCATGCATACGCCACACGGATAACCATACGAACATTACACACCCACACTCTCATGCAAATCATTTGAATTGTTTACATGCTGTTCATGTTTTTCTTTTATCTCGACGGACTTTTGGATACATTCTGTACTTATCTATATTTTTAAAAAACCAACGAAAGGTTAAATTTTTTGTTAATATTGACTTACTTAATCGAGCTTGTAATCGATCCCAATCTGATGGATCATGACTTTCATTTATTTTTAATATTCCATAACCACGTTCGACAAATTGTTGTTGTTCACCGCTATACATAAATAATTTACCAGCCATCTATAGAATTATTGACAAAAAAAAGGATTCAAAATTAAAAAAAAAAATAAATAAATCAATTTCAAACTTGGAATTTCGTTATTTCATTTTCTTCTCCAGTTGATGTATCACCTTGAATAGTCGTAGTTGCATGTGTTGATGCTCGTTTAGCTTCAAATTCAGCAACTGTTTCTAATAAAGACGTTTTATTGTCTTCTTCTTCATCGTTCTCTTCATCATCATTTGTTTTATCTAAAAAACAAACAAAAAATACAAACAACTTATTTTTAAATTTAAATTTTACTTTGTAATGAATTTGTTGATGTTGTTTTCAGATCTGTAAATGAACTTGGTGTTGTACCACTTGAACCACCAAATAATGGTTTACTAAGAAAAAAAAAACAAAAAAAAAAGTTTCATATGAAAATTTTCAATAATTATTTTGTTTTTAAAATACTTGGCACCAAGTGATGCAAGTGATGTAGCTAATGATGTTGATGGAGAACCGAAACCACTGGTTGTTGTCGATGAAATTTTTGAAAGTGTATTCGTAAAATATGTTGATGAAGAATTATTATCATCAGATTTTTCTCGTGATGTTGTTTGACCAAATGTTGATATTGATAAATTATTAAAACCTGAACCATTTTGTTTAAATTGACCAAATAAGCGAACTGATGTCGATGTATTTACATCACTAATAAAATATCAATATAATTAAATATAAGAATCAAAAGAAAATGTTTATTGTTTTTGTTTTTCTATACCTAAATGAACAAGATGAAATATCTGATTTAGTTTCTTTTTCTGTTGGATCATCAGATGATAAAGTTGTTTGAGCTATTGAAAGAAAAGAGTAATTTTTTAACAATATTTTGTTCAAAAATAATACACAACCAACCGTTGTCTGACATTTTAAAATAAGAGTAAAAGAAAAAAAAACAGATTGACTTAGATGAATATTACAACCATCACCGGGAAAAGATCGATCGATTGGTAAAAGAAATAATGATTATATATAGATATATAAAATTCATCTCCTTCTCTACTTTTTCTATCTATTTCTTTTTTATTAATTTAATTGATGAACCAATCACACAGTATTTCATAACCTCCATAGAAAACCTTCTGACATCTATGGACCATTAAACGAAGTCTATTGCTAAGTATTACCGTAACGAAAGAATGATTTTATGGTGAAATCAATTATATTAATCTGTTGAATTATAGTAAAATAAATAATAAAAGTGAATTATGGAGAATCATCATTCTCGGCCAAATGATGCGTTGGATTTATCCTTACAAGGTACAGCCATTCAACCAGGAACTATATCTTCACGTCCATCAAGTACGCGAAGTGATTCTCAATTGAAACAACCAGGAATTATTTCTTCACGTCCATCAAGTGCACGAAATAATTCTCAGTCAAAACAACCAGAAACACCAACAAGAGGAGGTAATAATGAATTGAAATATTATTGTTAAGAAATTTTTATTTATTCTAGGCAGTGCTAAAGAACGTAGAACAAGTTTGAGTACAAGTGTAAATTTAAGTAGTGCTAGACAAAGGTGAAGATTGTCTTGTGTTTTTTCAAAAGAAAAAAAATAAATTTCTTTTTTTTTGTCAAAACTTTAGACGACTTAGTAATAGTGGTCAACGCTCGATTTCGATTACATCACCACCTGCTGATACTAAAAAAGTATGAGTTTTGATAGAGTTTCATAAGGCTTGTAGTTCTATGGCGGCATGAAATTTTGGTTTTTTTTCGACTTTCTGTTAACAAAACTGACAACAGTGTGCTTCTCTGCCTTGAAAAAAAAATTGTTTCATAATGAATTTATATGAAATTTTTAATTTTGTTTACATTATTTCAATGAATTCATCTCTGTTTTCTACTGATTGCTATAATATGTATGAGAAAATTCCCACAACAAAAAACCTACACATCTAATAATAGTCCTTGATTTTTAAGTGATATACAAGAAAAAGGACAGAAAAGTGCTTCAAAAGAAATATTTGTTTACTCATTTAAATATGTTTTATTTCAAGTTACATTTTAACTACAAAACATAATTTACTACTATACATGAAAAAATAATGAATGAACCAAAAGTTGTGAGAGAATATATTCCTTCATTGGTCGATTGATTAACAGATAGATGATCAGCAGACCGTATAAAATATGAGTTTAAAATCAGAATTTTGTAATCTTTCTGTATCTTGATTCAAAATTTTTTTTATTAGACTTACATTTTAGGAGTGTATGAACTTCAACAATTTTCTTACCGCTTTCGTGTCCTTGGAGTAGAGACGTCGAATCTGTTCAAGTCTTATTTCTTGTCGTTTGATCGCATCACGTTCTGAAAATTTTTAAGGAACATTATCTAGAGAATATATATTCTTCTCAGCAAATGATATCCGCTTTTGCATATGTTTTAATAACAATCTTTTGGAACTATCCGAATGCTTTTTGTGAGTCGGAAAATCAAGAAATCGTGGAAATGTCACTGTTACTTTCGTCAGAAGTTTTATTCTTGATAGATACATTAGGGAAAACTAATCATCAAGATATTATTCCGTAGAAAACTGTTTGTAGTTTCTTTTACTGTGTTTGAAATAAATTTTACTTTTATTCTGTACGTTTGTTTAGCTTCTGAAACTAGAGCTCGTCGTATTAGTCATGAACCCAGGTCTGGATCCGAAAATTTTGACGCTGATAGGCTCTATGTGAAATTCTTCCAAAATTGTTTTTAGACCTTCTGTAGGTTCGTTCATAACTGCAAATATATGAATTTAATAAAAATTCCGAACCGAGACTCAAAAAGAGTACAAGATTTTGATTTTCAACGAAATATTTATGGTTTCTATGGATTATTTTAATCGGTCTAGAAATGAAGGAACATTTTGTCTTGAATTTTTTCGGCTTATCCTTTATAAGTTAACAAACAAAACATTGTCTCTACTATTGTTATATTTTTTCTGTAGTTCTGATTTTTACTTCGGAAAAAAAGACAAGCATTCTTGTTTAAGTGAAATATTCAGATTAAAATTTCTTTTTGCACATCATTATTACTCTGTCACGATATAGAACAACATCTTTAAGATTTTACATAATTCTTTTTAAGGGTACTCCCTCCCCCTTTCTGGAGCTGAAAATCAAAATATTTTCGATTTTTTGTTTTTCATTGATACATATACTTTGAAGTGTTCTCTATCGATCTGCGAAAAACAAATTTCTTTTAACAACGTTTTGTGCTCCAAAAGAACGATTTTCGAGACCCCCTATCTAAAAAGATGATTTTTTACTGTGTTTTCAAAATATATCGTCTTTGCGTTTAAGAATTCAACAAATGCGAATGCGTTTCTTTTGTTTGTTCGTCAATCATTTGTAATCTGCCAACAGCTCTCTATATTCTTTCACTTCCGATTTTCTCTCTGTCCAAGATAAATGTGAAATAGAAGTGAAAACAAGAGATAACTTTCAATTGATATGCCGTTGTTTGCTGACTACATGCACCTCGCAGCTGTAAAAAAGTACTTTCTGATCGCGAAAATAACCTCAGCGAATGCGCAGTAGTCGAAAACCTATAAAAACTTCAATAGAAAGAGAAAAACCAATGTGTATTCAGGAAAAACTCGAAATTCGATTTTGTTTTGCGGTTTTCTCGAAATCAAATTTTACACAAAAAAAGTAACTTTTCGCTCTCGTTTCTCGGCCGCGGTACATCGAATCGGGCTGAATTTTTTTTGACATACTAGACACTTTGGGATGCGCATTTTTTTTCGTTTCAAACAATATTGCTTTGACGATTTTTCGAAGCTGTTGCAAAATTTGCCCTAGTAAAGAAATAAGCGTTTTTTAAGGACGTGTCCATTATTTTGGCTTTTTTACTCGCAGAACAAGAGATATAAGAAAACCAAAAAAAAAACACGCACCCCAAACAGCGTTCAGCAACCTGTAAAAAAAGGTTTCAGCTTGATTGAGTGTAGTATCTCGGAGAAATGATGGCGAGAAGTGGGATCAATTTTGCCCATTGTGACCCCAATACCTCCTAGAAGACAGCATCCTGAAACTTTGTATCTATGACAACTTTTACTCTACTCATCAAAATCTATCTGCCATGAAAGTTTCAAAATTTTCTTATAAGCCGTTCTTCAGAAACTTCGGAAAGGAAGGGGATATCCTCAATCTAAAAATTAAAGAAAACATTTGTTATTTTGTAGTCGATAACTGCATCAACATCATCGAGCATCTTTCGTGTAATAAGTCCACGTCAACATGACGCTGATGCATTCTTTACTGATCAAAGTCAACAAAAATCTTTTGAAAAAAAACCTGGGGATGAGGATGAATGGGATGATACGCGTCGCTGGATTGATGAAATTCATCATTTAAATTCATCGTTTACTGCACAACAACAAAATCATGGTGTTGGACCTATGGGTATGTCACGTGATAGTCTTAATGGAACTATCACAGGCACTAATCTATTTCCATCGAATGACAATCAACATGAACAACTTATGCCAATTCCAGAATCATCTCGTACAGGACAATTAATATCAACAGAAGCTGATTTAAAAAGCGGAAATTCTTCAATAGCTATTGAACGGTGGTATGAAAAAAATGATGAAAGAATTGAAGAAAAACAATTTCGACAACAAGGACCAATTGACCAAGAAAAATTAACTTCCTTTGAACATATCAGACCTACAGAATATGAACACCATCAACAACAACAAGAAATAACATCCCCTAAAGTAATCTTTTCATTCATTATATCAAATTTATATTCTTTATATAGGAAACTCAGCAACAAAATAATAGTAGATTAAATAGTCGTCGATTATCATCATCTAGCAGTACATCAAGACATCGAATAACACCTATATCATCACCAATTCCATCAACTTCAAATGTTGATCAAGTTAAATAAAATTTCTATTGTTTTCTTTTAAATACTATTTAATTTTTTTATTTATATAGAAAATAAGATATGTTAGTTCGACGACACCATCAGCATCATCATCAACAACAACGACAGCATCAAAAGTGACCTTAAATGATGTTTATGAAACATTAAGAAGATTAGAAGAAGTCGAAAAATTTCCTATACAATCTCCATTAGCAGATGATTCAGGTAATGCATATTGTTATAAAATTATTAACACAAAGACTTATTCTTTCTCTTATGACTTGAAAGCCGCTAAGCATTGATTGATATGACTATTGTTTCTTTTTTTATAATACTAAGTAAACATGAGCAGGATCAGTCGTTTTTACTTCTGATTCAGTCAAAACTGAAACCGTCTTGCTTGTGCCTATTTAGAGTGCATAAGTCCCAATCCACAGTGCGCATTTTTCTCCATAGACCAGATAGACATTTGATTTTTTTAACAGTGCAAGAGCTTATTTTCTGCTCAATATTGTTTTATCATCTCTCAAATGGTAAGATTCTTTGAAAAAGATAAATTCCAAGAAAAAAGCTTTTATTGCTGAAAAATAACAATAATTGACGCTGATTCTATATATACGTGAAGATTTTTTTAATAAAAAACCTAAAGAATTAGAGAGAATTCAATGCACATTCTGATGCTGATCCCAAATTTGAAGTTAGCCTTCAATAAAAGTGTTTCTATATCGAAAAAAAAAAATTTCACCTTGATAGAAAGCCTATAACTCAATCGTAGAACGCTCATATTGATTTAGACTAACGCTATATATGTATTAAGGGTGGATGAGCATTCAGCGGAACTTTCGTTCGATTGGAAGTTGCGGAAAATCATGCAAGCTCATTATACTGAACACATGTTTTCGTAAAAACACTCGATGTTAAAAAGAATGACTTTTTCTGAATCCCACACATATAAACGAGAAAGTCTTTTGTTTATAGTAAAAATAAAATTGCTAATCCCTATTAATGGCGTTTTTCAACTAATACTAACAAGAGTAACAATGACACTTGTATATCATTAAAGCACTTCTATGTCAGAGTATATGTTATTCTATTTACGCTATTAAAAAGTATAATTTCAATTTTTCATCTAATATTCGGTCCACAGTGTGGTCGCACTAGGACCAACTTGCACATATCTAATGTTAAGTCTAGTATCGATTGAGGATATACCTTTAAACTGTATAAAACAAAACTTATTAATTTTGTACAACAATCTAAAATAAACATAAAGAACAGATAACTTCGTTTCAATTTATTTGTCAAATTTTGATCAAAATTAATTTTCTAGTTTATGTCATCGATCCAACTGCAGCAGCACTATCTCCATTTATTGATGAACTTCCATCAGAAACTTCAAATCATGTTGATTCTGTAATCACTCATCTCAACAAAACTGATCAAGATGATCAAACTATTGAAAGTGTTCGATCACAAAAACTCACTACACGTGAAACATCATCACCTTCAATGATTCGTTTTACAACTCCACCTCAATCAAATCGACGACAACAATCAAAAAAATTAGTACAATCAGTTTCTATACCTCATATTCAAGCATCATCATCAATCGATCAACAAACAAGATATGGAACAAAAGTAAAAATTAATTTACAACAAAAAACGAACAACTTTATAAAAAATAATAATAATTTTTAGGTAACAACACCATATAAATCATTAACGATTGCTCCCTATCGAGCAAGTCTTCGAGAAGATGAATTTAAAAATAGTAATAAAACAATTCATGATAGTAGAGACACAAAAGTTTCATTAAGAATGGATTATGAAGAAAAACAACGACAACCAATTATTAATCAACAACAATCAGTAAAATACACAAGAGGAATGTTTCTAAAATCGATTATTTTCTTAATATTTATTTTAGAATCAACTATATGAATCATCTCTTCATCGTAGCAAAGATTTCGAACAGGACTATGATTATCATTTACAAAAACAAAAAGATGAATATGAAGCTATTATACAACGTCATTTGAAATTTATTGATCAGGTTTATTAATCAACATATTATTTTTCATTTGGTTTTATTAGAAATTAGGTGGAAAAAAGTTTTTGCAAAATTATTTCCTTTATAAAACATTCAAGTAGAGAAATTGGACATAGTTTCATTTTTCGTAGATAATCATTTTTGAAAAATCGACAATCGACTTACGTTGAAAGGAGCTTTTGAAAAATGTTTGTAGCCTCACTTGAACCAAAGTTACAGCCTACGAAGGAACCTTTTCATAGGTGTTACCCTCCGATTTCAATGATCTTTTTGTCTATAGATAATGTTCAATGTTCTAGTGAAAATCTTCAAAGGATTTGGGTTCCTAGCGCTTTCTTCAAAAGTTATGAACATTTTATTTTTGCTTCTATAGTACTTAAGAGTGGGTCGCGAGATCACCTATCAGTTTTATCAGAAGCCAGCCACCACTACAATTGATCTTCGATTTAGATATCTCAAACTTACCTGTGAAAAATGTCAAGGTCTACAAGTGATACACCCTTTGACATTTGATGAAAACATCGAGATTTTTGGACTCTGTTAATATTTTGCCTTTTTTCCTGCGTCCACTCATTGCTTTGAGTTCGGAGACGTCTTAAAAGATGCAGAATTTTAAGAATTTTTAGAAAATACATAAATTATTTCGGGATAGCATAATTCGGCGTGACTGGAGTTAAAATACTAAAACATTTAATTTTAACCAATCATCGTCTTTGTCCGTAACCTGGGATTATCACTTGATGAATGATATTGTATAACTAAGTCAGCTACCCAATTTTGTAGACAAAACATTTCTGCATCTTTTAAGATGCCTCCGAGCTCAAAGCAATTAGTGGACGCAGAAAAAAAGGCAAAATATGAACAGCACCCAAAAATCTCGATGTTTTCATCAAATGTCAAAGGGTGTATCACTTGTAGACCTTGACATTTTTCATAGGAAAGTCAGAAAGAGCTATTATTTTGGATTTAGAGGTTTCGAATAATGGTCTATCGTTTGAGATATCTAAATCGAAAATCAATTGTAGTGGTGGCTGGCTTCTGATAAGACTGACAGGTGATCTCGCGGCCCACTCTTAAGTGCTATAGAAACAAAATTAAAATGTTCATATCTTTTGAAGGAAGCACTCGGAACCCAAATCCTTTGAGGATTTTCACTAGAACATTGAACATGATCTATAGACAAAAAATCTTTGAAATCGGAGGGGAACACCTGTGAAAAAGTTCCCTCGTTAGTTCAATATAACATTTTGTAGAAAAGTATCTACTGTACAAAATGATTGACTTTGACAATTTTTAGCCTTTATTCTCACTACTCTTAAACAAAAACAGAGACAAGATTTCGAAGTTCATATTCGAAAAAAGCATAAAATTCTGATCCGAACTGATACCTTTTGATACTTTCTAGCAGATTAAAAGTGTACAAAAATCTTATCTAAAAGCTTTCTGATCACCCAGTAATCAATGTAAATGAAAGTTAAAAAAATTCTAGTAAGAACAAGTAAAATAGTTTTTTAATCCACTCTAAAACATAATTAATATTTCTTTTTAAATTCAATCATCCATTTTTCTCTTTCAGTTAATTGATGATAAGAAAAAAATATCTCAACGTTGTGAACTTTTACTATCAGAATTAAAAATAATCGATAGAAAATATAATGATCGAATGCGATCTGTTGAAGAAGCCAATCGTAATGAATTACAAAAATTAAAAGATGTTCATGAAGCAGCTGAAAAATTACGACGTGAACATTGGATTGAAGAAAAAACAAAGAAAATAAAAGAATTAACTGTACGTGGTTTAGAACCTGAAATTCAAAAATTAATTAGTAAACATAAAAATGAAATAACAAAAATAAAAACTGTTCATGAAGCTGAACTATTAGCAGCTGATGAACGTGCTTCACAACGTTATATTCGTATGACAGAAGAATTACGTGATCAATTAGAACGTGAAAAAGAAGTTGCTATTGCTCGTGAACGTGAATTAGCTCGAGAAAAATATGAAAAATCTTTACATGATGAAGAAAAAACATTTAATGAACAAAGACGTCGACTGTATACGGAAATTGACGAAGAAAAAAATCGAGAAGCTGAACTAATAGCGAAACAACGTGCTGATTTAGACAAGTAAAAATACATTTTTTAAATTTTTTTATTTTAAGTATTTCTTGTACAGACTTCGACGTGATATCGAAGAGAATCATCGAACTGTTGTTGATTCAACTAAACGTGAATATGAAGCAATACGTTTAGAACAAGAACGTCGACATGTCAATGAAATTCAAGAATTGAAAGATAAATTAGCATTAGAGAAACAAAATTGGGAAGAAAGTATTATGAAAAAACAAGAAACTATATTAGCTAATAGAGAACGTGAATTACGAGAACAAATGAAACAAGAACGAGACAAAGAAATTGAAAAAATTATTGCACAATTTGAATCAGATACAACGACAAGCAAAGAAGAAACAGAGCGTTCAGCAGAAGATCGTGTTAAGTAAAAATTTTTTAATTTTTTATAATTTAATGTAAATCAATACATATATTTTAGACGTATTCGAGATAAATATGAAGTAGAATTTCATGAATTAGAAAATTCCGAAAAACAAACAAGAGAACGATTTAATCAAATTAAAGCTCAAATGACAGAAGTTCAAGGTTAATATCAAAGAAATTATTTGTAAATTTTTGAATTTTCTATTTTCTAGGTGATAACGAACGATTTCAAGTATTACTTAAACAAAAAGAAACAGAAGTCAATGATATCAAAAAGGTACTAAGAAAAATCTTGTTAAATATACGAGAAAATACAATAGTAAGACACTCAAGTTGTATCGACTTTATGGTCATTAATAAGCAACTTATATATTTCGTGTCTAATAAATAGAAGCAACAGTCTAACGTGAACATCAGTCATTGAAGACTATTGTATCTCTCTTTTGCTTATATATTATTTTTATGATGTTCTCATATAACTTTATGATAAGATTAAGTTTGATATTATAACTTGAATAAATGAAAGCAGCATACTATAACTGGATAAGCTTGCTTATGTTCTCTATTTACTAGATGTGTATACATTGCACGATCTCGGATATAAGAAAAAAAAGCAGTAGTGCCTAACAATCGTTGATAAGTATTTTTTCTGCGATAACGAAAGGAGACAGTCTATAATTCTTTTAATAAGCTTCTATATATAATAGAAATAGAAAATCATTGATCGAACCTAAAATATTTGAGTTCATGAATATGAGAATATTTTATCTCAACTGACTTTCATAAAAAATATTCTATTGGTACGGAAAATAGATTTGAGCAGTTTTATTTATGAGTTTTCTTTTCGATGGTAATATCTGAAGAAAAAAATCTGAAAAAGTATTTGAATAGTGAAAATGATTTTCTATTAGGATTAAAGTATCTAATTTCTCCAATAAAACTGCTTGGATAAGGATGTGTGGAATACTAAAACCAATTTACTAACAATCATTTGAAGCCTTTTGTAAATGGTTTTATTTCATAGAGCAAATAATTCTATGCAAATTTAGATGTCTTCGTTCTCTCTATGGAGCTCTTTCATCGAACTACATTCAACTTACAGAAGACCTAAGAAGAATTTTTCTTTTGTTTTTATAAAAAAATTTGTATGATTTCATCATGTTTGACACTTTGTGGTCTTCTATGAATTGAATGCAGTTTGATGAAGAGGGCCGAGATGTCTCATTTTACTTAGAATTATTTGCTCTATCAAACAAAGCTATTTACAAAAAGTTCCAAATGAGTTTTTAGAAAACTAGTTATGAGAGTCTTGATTTTCTACCCATCACTAAACTTTAATTCTTCACTCTATTATTTGAAAAATTGAAATACTTATGAAATATATTGAATACCACATGCATGGGTACATTTACACACATCACATGTTTGAAAATGTGATTGAATTTCTATCTGAATGATTTGATAAAAATCTTAAAATGTTGTTCTAATCAAGATGGGAGAGACAAAAGCTCTACACCCGTACTTCAGAGTAGGAATGAAGTACTTTGAATTATGACTGAAGTACAATACTCAACATGCTTCACTGACACTTAATAATACTTCATTCGTACTTGAAAGTATTGAAGTCATGTTTTTTCTCCTTGTGTTCTTATATATAAATCCTTCGATCTGTTTTCATTACAATAATAAGAAAATTGAATTTGATCATCATTAGTACTATTGTCATTATGAAGTTGATAAGCAACATAACATTATAGAGGTGTGACCATGAGAAGATGTGTTTCCCTCTCGCCTCTTTTTTTTCTCTTCGTCACATCCCTGTAACATTGATCATAAAAAATGTTAATTAAAACTTTAGAGTCAACGATGAAAAAAACAATACCGTGTGAATATTTCCTTCCGACTTGTTAAGGTTTTCTGCATAATGTTTCATAGAAACTTATGGATCATCTAAAGAGACATTTTTATTTGTTAGATCACAGAAACATTACAACAGGAACGTGATCGTTTATCAGAAATTATTCGACAAGAATTTGCTGATCGACTTGTGTTAACTGAAGAAGAGAATCGTCGAATAAAAGGTGAAATAGCAGAATTACGTGCTCGACAACAATTAGAATTAGAAAAGAAAAAAGAAGAAATTGAAGTATTACAACGACAACAAGAACAAGAATTAGAAACTATACATGAAAAGTAACATTACTACATTTATGACATAGATAAATCTCAATTTTTGTTATTTTTATTTTTATTTAAGAATTAAACAAGCCATTGCAAAAAAAGATGAACAAGTACACGGATTACATGTTCAATATGTTACTGCTGCTAAACGAGCTGAACATCTTGAAGGTTTATTAGCACAACAACGAAAATTAGTTGCAGCGATACCTTCAAGTAGCAGCAATGTATTGAAAAAAGTACAGCCTTCATGATGAACTTTGCACAGTTAACTGTTTGTTTGCCAGATAATTTAGAAGAGTTTTTGTTTTGTATTTTGATAAACTAATAACAGAAAATAAAATGATTTTGATTAATACAGAAATAAACAATTTTAACAAACAAATATTACGTTTCAAAAAGTGAATATTCGTAATGTTTTGCTTTTGTGTAACTATCAAATAGTGTACGATTGTTTGTCAATTAAAAGTATCGATCTGATTATAACATGACTATGAGGCTTTGTGTTACTGTGATAAAATTCAGCAATGAATTAGATTATTTCTAGTAATTTCAGTTTGAAATGAAAATAACCGAACAAGTTCTTGTTATGGTAAATTCTTGCTGAATAATCTCGGGAAAATATTGAGCATAGGACGCATCAGTAGTGTATCTTGAATTTTGTGGAAGAGAAAAATGATATCATGGCCGCAATACGGGATTTGAAAGTCCATTATAGATCGCATTTACTCATTATTCAGCGTTTTCTAGTGAGAGCACCCAACAACCGATTTCGAAAGGGAACAATAATCAACCGCTTCCCTCAAATCCACCATTGATATGCATACTAATTTAACAAAATTGAATAACTTCTAATGATCAACTGGATTTTGTCACTTAATAAATGAAATTTCCTAAGCAATCCAAAAACAAAAAACACACGGGACATATAAAAGCTAAATCATTTTTTTAATAAATCATATTTATAACAATACAGACATCTATGTTATTCGTTAGCAAACATTAGACAATATTCCGTTACTTATACAGAATAGCTTTAATATATTATCGATCAAAGAAAAATTTTAAGAGTATATATTCATATAGAAAGAAGAATATGATTGTAATACAGAACAGTATTTGTTGAATATCTGCCATAAATACAATTTTAACCTATCAGACTAGAATGAAATCAAGAAACATAACATATATAATGTCAACGATTTATTCAGCTCTTAATAATAATGACTGTAAATATAATCTATTACAACAATATTATAAATTTCAAAAGATATGAATTACATTAAAACTTTTATTAACATATATCAAAAGTTAAATAAATTAATTTCAAAAGTCATCAAAAAGTATATTTCTAACTATTCGAAAATGAAATATAAAACTAATCAGTCACATTTAGTTTAATTACACGATTTATAAATCATAATCAACCAACTTATGTCTTATTAACGACGTATATCATCGTTTGTGTATGTCTCATTTCTATTTCAACTGTATACGAACAAGATAAAACTACATCAAAAAAAAAGATCAAAACCAATCTTTTCGATTATAAAACATCAGTTATAAAAAATATCGTTATAGAATTTTTGAATAATCTCAAATGGACTATACATACAATATAAACTATTCAATCAATGATCTTCGAACAGATGGAGTTAGTGTACATCCATCCATTACAATATAGCTATTTTTTAATGCTCAAATGAATGCGAGCGAGTCCATTAGATGACAAGAAAGATATTTATGGTGGAAAAAAATAGACAAAAGCAATTATCAAGAATAAATTTGCTTGTTGAAGGATAATGAAAGATTCATTTTCATCGGCTATTTCCATGTTACGAGATGATACAAATTATTCACAAGTACAAAAAACACCTGATTATAGATTAATTTCAAATCCATTTGATCCACCAACATCAGTTCATCTTAAACAAAGACTTGCTAGTTTTAGTATTTTTAATGATGTTAGTTTATTTTATTTTAATTTAAAAAATTATTTAAATTAGTGTTTTTAGCAACAAGAAAATAAATCTGTTGTTGATGTCCTATCAATTGAACGTCGTGCTCAAGTATATCCACATCCGTTAAGTGAACATATTGTTCAAATAGATACATCTCTTTTGTAGGGTTTTTTCTTTTTCTATTTATATAGTATTTTGCTTTTTTCTTTATATTTAAAAAAAATATAGTAATCAAGAAATGCGTGATCGATATCAACGAGCATCAGATCATTTTTGTCATACACAACTTGATTTACCTACACCTATAACAACAAATGAAATTCCAAAAACAAAAAATCAATCATGGTCAAATAGTTCATCAACAAGTTTAAATTCTTTGCTTGATCAAACTCGAACGACTAGACATAGTATTTAAAAAAAAAAAACAAGGTTATTGTCTTAATTAATTATGATTTTTCTTTTTAGTGGGTTGTCAAACACGTCTTTCTCTGCCACCAGCAGCTGATCTTGATTCATTAATACAAAGTTTTGCTTCGAATAGTGATCAAGATGATCCACCTATTGCTATTTCAAATTCATCATTAAATATTTCTCAAATACGACGAAAACTATTTTCTGATGAAGATGATTTACTTGATGAAACACCACCAATAGTACCACATCGACGTTCATCTTCATTCGATGTAAAATATTATTTCATATTGATATAAAATGTTCGTTGTTGTTTTTTATAGCCTGCACAACGTTCATCAAGTCCGAGTCAACAACAATATCGAGAAAATCATCTATCCCGACATAAAAAACCAATAACACCTGATTGTTCACCAATACCATTGAAAACTTCAACGAATTCGACGAAAAATTCTCGACAAGAATTTATTGCACTTACTCCGGAATCAGGTTTGAGAAAAAGAAAAGATTCAATTAAAATAATCAAAGACATAAAAGTTAGTTTTATGAAATTAGGTTTCGTATACAGAAGATGCCACAATTATTTTAGTTTTTCAACATCTAGCATGCGTAAATATAGTTTTGTTTAGATTACATAGAACCATAAAGTAAATAATTGTTTACAAAATGAGATGTCTCAGTTTTCTGCAACGGTTTTTAGTTGAAATACACCAATCTTACGGAAACTACTAAAATTGTTTTTGTTACTATTTCATATAGAAAAGTTAGTTCTTGATCTTCAATCAAACTACTGCATCTCAGCTAAAAAATGTTGCAGAGAACTCGGAGATGTTTCGTTTATCTTATTATTTTGTCTAGTCTAACAAAAATTATATTTATGTGCTTTAAGTATTGAAAAATTAGTTTGAACTAACTCGGTTGAATCATTTTGGTACTCTGTATATCGAATACAGTTTAGTTCCGTGTCATCGACACTTTTTATTCAACAATATTTTATGAAGAAAAAAAAAACAAATACACTATTGTGTATTAAGGAAAGTTTTTGTAGTAATAGAAATGAGAACATAAGTCAACAGGCTATGAGGTAGTCGGAAGAAAATATTCATCTAATGATGAAGAATTTTTTTTTTTGATATCGTTTCATTAAATGAAGAAGCTGTTGATTCTGAAAAATAATCTTTTTTTTAAATTTCATGTACCATGTCCTTATATTTAGAAGCTGTTGTAATGACTTCTGGATCTCGTCCAACACGTTATGTATCACATCTTTCATCCTCCGTTACCAATATGTCTATTGGTTCGCCTTTTATACATCCACCTCAAATGCCTAGTAAGAAAAATCATTAACTATTTTATATAAAACAAATATAATTTAATTCCTAGGTGATTATGCTCGACAAATACTTGATAATGCACTTGCTGATCTAATGGAATGCTCAATGTGAATTTATGTATTGTGTATATGCCTAGACTTGAATTAATCTAATTCTAGTCATTTATTGTTTTTTTGTTTTTCAATATGCCTTAAAGAATATGCTTATAATTGTCCGATTTATTCGAATAGAATCACATGATATGAAAAGTATATATATATATGAAAATAATCTTTTATTTTAATGAGAATCTATAAATGATTTTTAGTTACTGTTAAGTTGTATGATTTCTATGAAAACTCGATCAGAATATTTTCAAGATTATAAAATATATTGAGATACTAAAATTTAAATTCATTAGTTCGACAAAACTGAATTTGATAATATCATGGTGATGTACAGAATCTATCTGTGTGTACTAACGTGCGTTTGGAGAAATTCCGGAAAATTATTTAGCTATAGGAAGACTTTTTCTTATAGTGATAAGAATATAAGTTTCGTACATAGACTTTTTTGATTTTTTTATTAATAGAAAGTATCAAAACAGTTTATACTTTAATTTAACTATACAATTCATTATGGTTTGGAATGAAAATTGTCTCTATTAAATGACAATTAATAAAGATTAGTATTTATGTGTTAAATAAATCGATTTCTCTTATTCTTTCTTGGAATGTGCGAACGTAAAAGTGAATCCAGCTTTTCTTTTTTTTTGTTTTAATAGCAGGGAAAATTTTTCATCGTAGAGGCAGAGTCTGCGCTTCTGATATAATGGGTCTCGAGTAGTTGTTCGCAAAAGATGTGGATGTAGACCTTCTCTTCATCCATACTTACGTCTTAATCGTCCACTTGTGACCTTCAGAAAACATTTCGATCTTTCTAAGAAAAAAAGATAAACCCTATACTACATTAACAAGGAGATTTATGCAAAACTTTTGTCTCGTCCATTATATCCATTTCGTTGATTATTTGCTTTTACGAATATTGATTTATGTTATTGAAATTCTTCTTTTATTCTGATTATAAATTAAAAATTTGCTTAGTTAAAATAAAACGTACAATAAAAAGCGTAGCAAAATCTAATTTTATGTATCAAAAAAAAAAAATGATGAAAACTAAGGTTACGTGTAACAAAGAAAAAAAATTGATCGTGTTGTCAAAATGACATGAGCGTTCATTTAATTAGTGCAAGAATACTATGAATATGTAAGATAGTAATTAATCAGATGAACAAAAACAATGTACATGTCTATCTGAAGGACTTGTTGCGTGTGCGATTATGCCCCAATCGACTAATTTAAGTAAACATTGACCTGGTTTGCCTATTTCAATCAACAATTTCCATGGAGGTGGACATTCATATCCATTATTAATTAATTTTATTGAGTTTAATTTAGTCATTGATGGATATTCAAGAAAAATCTCACGTGCGCTACAGTTCATTATAAATACAACTTCATCACTATCAAATATATTGAGTGTAGATACATATGGTTCTTTTCGACCACCGATAACCCGACGATCAATATTCCACCAGCCGTGAATTGATTGAATAGGTTGAATATTTTCTTTTAAGTTTTGATGATCTTTATCACTAATTATTCCAAAGAATAGTTCTTTATTAGTTTGTTTAATACGAAAACGAAAAAAATGTGTACCAGTAGTGTATTGATTTCGACTAAGAATAATTGCAGGATGTGTAGTACTTATAAGATGTTGAGTTTTATAAAAAGTAGGATGACCACGAATTTTTTCAAAATTAAATTCTTTATAATCGAAATTAATTCGTTGAAACATTTCTTTGGAAAATTCTCGTTTTACTTTAATTAAATCAATGACTTGATCATGTGAAAATTCGATTGTTGAAGAAACTTTTTCTAATTGCTTACGAATTTCAGATAAATTTGCCATCCAATTATCAATATTAGCTTCGGTACAATTAATTTTTTTCTGTAATGCTTCTTGTAATTCTTCTGTGACTGTATCATGTAAAGCACGTTGTAATCGATCATTAGTACTCTTTAGTATTTGTTGAAGATCATTGCGAGCAGTTTTAGCTATTTTTTTAATTTTTTTTATAGCATCTTTTTCCCATTTATCAATAGAATCAACGAGAGATTCATATATTCGATTGTCATCTCTATTCAGATCTTCTCGTAGGCGTTCATGTTCACGAATAACATTGTCAAATTCATCGTTCAATTTACGTTTACGTTCGACATCCCATGAGCTCATTTTACTTTTTGATGATGTGGTTAGAATCTGTTTGCCGTTTTTTCTTTCTCTTCCTACCAGTAAAAAGATTTCTCTCACATGTCGTAGTGTAAAGGTATGAGAGCATATGTGTTTTTCTTTTTTCTTCCAATAAACTCTCGAGAAAAATCAGTAACAATAGTGAGTACTACAATGACCTTGAATTTTCTTTCGCTACCATCTGAGAACATTGTAACATGTTTATTTTCTCTTGAAAGTATTCTCTCTTAATTGTAAAGTGTCATAAAAATCTAATCAAGTTGTCCTTGCAATTCTTTTTAATTGAAATGTAAATATAAGTCTAATCATATGAATATATCTTACTTCATTATAAAATTATATCGACATATTCTGCCTAGAAACCTTATTGCAACTAATCAGTCGAAACAAGTATCTTTTATATTTCAAATTCAAACTTAAGATATATGACATGGATTCTATAGTAGTGAAAAATAATTTATGAATTATTTAAATCAATAAATTAAAAAAAAATAAAGAATTACTTAGTATGGGATTTCGGTATTTCAAACGCCATTCTCAATAGAGACATATGAAACATCAGCGACAAAGGAGTTAAAGAAAGTGAATTGCATTTATCTTTGTCTATATATATTTTGTTTGCACTTCACTGCTCTATGACATGTTGTTAAGAAGAAAATAATTATATATGAATATTCTGGATGAATTACCATGTATTCTTTGTTAATTTAGAACTTACCATTCTTTTTTCTTTTTAAACTTTCTGGAAAAGATACAAATGGTGTTAATCTTACAATTACATTTGAGCGCGCCCCCCCTTTCGGTCACATGAAATTTTTAGGATTTGTTACGGCTGCCATGGAGAAACTATGGTGGGATTCTCAGCTCTATATCATCACGTTTTCTGGAGATATTCAACAAACAAGGGTAAAAAATAGCTCATTTGGCAATTCAAAATTCTCTGTCAGCCTGTATTCCACATAGTAATTTTTTGCTTGAAAGTGTCTCTTTTTTGTTAAATTCTTACTTTTTATGCGAAGAAAATGAGTAAAGAGTTCAACGTTTAGAAAAATCTCAAAAAATACTCTCTATATAATAATAACAAACTTAATTAACAATAGTGACTCTGTCATGCCTTTCATCTTTGCATGCACTTTCAAACAAGAAACCTTGTGAACGAGCACATGAGGGGTTAAAGTATGGAATGCACACACACGGACTGTTATAAATGTATGGTGTATTGTTAAAGGGATTAAAATAATTTATTACAAAAAAAGCCAAATGAATGAATAAATGAAAATTATAACAATTCTTTTAGTTAATATGCGCGCTCTAAAATTTTATCATTTCGAAGATGTTTGCATGTAAAATTACTACTCTACCAGTTTATTTCATATTTTTTAATGTCGTTTTACTGATAAAACTTATTTGTATTGTCGGAACATCTTCAATACATAACTTTTTTTCTAATAATAATTCATACGATACATGCCATAAAAAGCAGCAAATATCAATTTATTTTTCGGTTAGTCGTTTCAATCACACATCATGTTAGATATAAGCATCTACTTTGCTTTGAACTATTTTGTAATATCTGAAGCGATTTAACTCATAAATACTTTTTCAAGTTTTCATGAGTTGACATTTATAATACATATGTTAACTTTGTCCTTAAATGCTCTCCAGCTGCCGAATAGTAGCTCCATGGTCAATCATATGCCTTAGTATGTTTAAGTCGCTGAGTAACGTGAAGTTTTCGAAACATATCTAACTCAATAGTGGACTTCTTTACCGTTCTATATTAATCAGAAATTTCGAAAAATCTCCATTGACTGTTGGTAGAGAATACTTTGTTTCGAAAAATTCGAATTTCTTCATTTTTTCAAAATAATTAATTTTGTAACGCCAATCTTTCAAAGACGAAGCGAGAAAAAAAATATTCTTATCGTTTTCAAATCATATGCTTCTCTTATTTTGTGCAATCGTTCTACAAGTGGCTATTCTATTAACCAAGGGATGATAAAGGGTTAAGTTTGACTAACATTTCAGTGGTCAGTATAAAAATTCGGCAAAATGCTCAGTACTTAAATTACAAGTAATTAATTGTAAAATGATCAATTTACTAAATATAAGTAGCAGTAAAAATTTTCAATTTGTATTAGTAAAAAAAGCAAGATTTATCAGTAGAACATGCATTTAAAGAAATCAAGGAACCACAGAATAAATAACAAGAAACTTGAACAATAATTGAAAACGAAAAGAAAATGACAATTGAATTATTGTATTATTAAAACATATTTAGCCTTGACTGGTCCACCTCTCTTTCTTTTCGCACCGATCGACTCTGTCTTTGCTGCTGGCGGTGGTTTACAATATTCCAAACAAATAGCCATATTTACACAGACCTTTTTTTGTATATCGTTTTGAAAACTACTGAAGATAAATTGAAAAAAATAAATTTGTTTTTTCATTTGAACACATTGCTAAACCGAATCGATGACATGCTTTATTTAAATCCGTTATTTCACTAACTAGTGCTGGAAAACTTTGCTATGCTAATATATAAATAGCATGAACATGTATGTGTTGTGACGTAGATACGGCGTTGAGCAAACGAACAGATGATATAAAGATACGAAATTCGTTTACACCATCATCTTCATATTCTTCATCATCGTATTATATCTTGCATGATATAACAAATGATTTGTTTTCATCAAATGGAACATTTGGATATATGTTCACACCGTTGTTCTAATTTATCTAAACTTGTATTAGATGAACTGAGTTTCTTGTTTCTGTAATAGACAAGATAATTGTTTAGCTGTGATAACATTGACATATTTATTTTTTCTTGATTGAAATGCTCGAAAAACTACTTAATTAGTTTTAGTTTCTTTAAATCATTGTAAAATGAATCTTCCATATACTTTTTAACATTTTCATCAGTACCACAAATAGTTCTATTATGATGTTCGTGCTCAGCTTTTGTTTCACGAACAGTTACTTTATCGATATCTGCATGATAAAGCAGATAAATACCTGTACGACATTGAGAACTACGGCATTTAACTTTCTTGCATTTATAAAAAAAAACACTTTTCCCCCATCTTCTCTATAGTTTGTTTTATATTTTGGCCATTGCGTTTCAATTGATGGTTTTGTTTCGCCAGCATTCTCAAATGCATCTTTTAAACCCAAAGTTTGATTCCATTTCGTTTAAAGGGTTCTTTTATTTTCATTTATTTCATAATCTTCTTCCACTACCTCTTCATCTGATATACCGTTTTCGTTTTGAGAAATCGATACTACTCCCATATTTACAAATTCGGCAAATTTTGTAAATGCGAGATGTTATTTTTATTTGAAAAACGATAATGAATAATACGAAGAATTGAAACAATTATTTTTCTTATTAACAAAATTGTAGATTAGAAGAAGTACCTCAGAGAAGACCTTTAATATAATCGACTGTTAATAAATTATATTACTGATTCTTAAATCCATTTATAAACCAAATTAATTAATAACTGACTGTCTAAATAATTTACTGATCAATCATTAAGTTGACTGATCATAAATCATACTGCCTTTAAATATCATAATTTCTCTTTATATTATCATGTAAGTACTTCCGAATTTAACATTGACGAACATAATAAAAAAAATCAACATAAACCTTTCAAGTGTTTATGAAAAGTGTTTTGTAGTATCACGGTCAATCACTACAATTTCTTTTTACAGTGTACTCAGTGGTCGTGGTCGATGTGACAGAATTAGATCGGTACCGATAAGAAATAGATCTTAGTGATGGCAAGTCTGTCTTAGTTGAAATTAAAAAATATTTATTGGTAGTTTGAGATCGACAATCAAGGAAATACCTAACATTTGTTTTACAATTCTTTCTATTTCTTCTTTCTCTTTTTTACTGCAGAAGATTTGAGAACAGAATCAATCTATGATGAAATTGTATTTTTGTCTCTTGTTGCAATAGCAAATATATGATGTTGATGTTGTCTACGAAAGGAAAAGCAAGTATATTTGCTGTTCCTCTTCTCAGCCTTAAGACGAAGCAAAAAAGAGCATTTAATTTTCGTTATCTTCTCACTCCTATATCATACTTGTAATACAAGAGTCTGTAAGTCATATATCAGTGATCTACACGACTTAGTTTATTCTAGGTATTGCGTCTTTAGTTCTTAATTGTTATTCAAAGGACAGAAAAAGAGTATATGTAATGTTTATACGCTACTAATTTTCACTTCCTCTGACTTTCGATGATTGAATATCATTCAGAAAAGAAACTATGTGTTCATCGTGCTTCGATGGCTTGCTGGTTAGAACACTGATCCGGATAACCAGTAATCGACCTTGAGTTCGATTTTCAGTTTGAGCATATCGTTCCTTATCTGTTTGTTCATCGAAAGTCAAAGAAATTAAAAATTGATTCTTAATTGTCTGCAGCAACATTTTGGCGCACGTTGCACTCATGCATTGACATTTTCAAAGATATAATTCTTTATTTTTATGCAGAACAAATACAGGTAGTCAAGAAACTATGCGGATACCTATGCATTTCTCATATTTTTTGTTCGCACATTAGAAACTATAGATCTCATATTCCTTTGTTCATCGATAAATAAACCTAATTTCTTTCTACGTTCTCTATAAAAATCAGAATTTTCGATTCTGATTACTGCCTTTCCAGATATTTTGCTCTGAAAGTAACAGTTTTTGTTTACTAAGAAGAATGCAGAGGTTTTTCATATGATGAGGAATTTGATTTTGTGGCAAATTCAAATTCTTTAAAACAATACCTATTCGTGGCAACATAGATATATAGCGGTATAACTGTATACTGCGTTGAATATTTCATTGTTTCTGATTGGTTGATTTCGGAATTTGCCGCAAATTCAAATTCCCCATCAACGCAAGTTTTTTTTATTAACAACAACGAATAGACTTAATCGCTTTTGGATTTTTTTTCTTAGAACACATTATTAGATAAAGCGAAATGACTTCTATCTAGTGGTGTGCTTTTTTTTGATCATACGATCGATTTTAACTACTCGAGGCATACCAAAAGTATTGACTGATGTGTTTTAGTTCCTTATAAAAAGCTTAAAGAAACTTCTTTCCAGGTAATCCGATAATAAACCTATAATGCTCTACATTTCAATGATAGTTAATCATTCTCTAACTAAGGTTGTGAATGTGGGTAGTTTGTAGGTATAGTTATGGATGTGGCGTATCGGCTCTCGTGTGGTCGTATGTAAGATGCTATACCATCTACAGGCACATTCCCCTACACTCACACAATTACACTACATCAGAGATTTTCTTAAACACTTAGAAAAAAGTTCTCAGCTCCATCGGTCAACATCTTCTCGCAGAAGTAAGAAACAGAAGTTAGGCCATTTTTTGAGCGTGCGGTCTTATTTTCTCACTGAAAGAGACAATATGCGAGCTCGAACCTAGCACAACTTTTGAGACATGCTCTTTAATCTATGTTAAAGTGATATGATTGTGCCATACTTTCTTAACATCGTCAAGGCTGTTAGATTCCATTCTTTTGACACATTCGTTCCCACGTCAGATAGTATTTAGAATTGAGAAGAAGTAAGTGCTTAGAATTTTTTTTGTAAACGCTCAGTGTAGTTTGCTCAGTATTCCATAAAAAATTATTAGTAAATAAATCAAACTATCAGTATAAAATAGAATTAGTCGACGATAAAAACGCCCTTATTGCAATGAACTTTTTATATTATTTTGACGTATGAGAATAGAATGCAGTACATGCATGTACAAAAGAGTTCGAGACATTTACGCAGCATATATTAGTTTTATAAGTGTTTGCTTCTTCGTTGAGCAAAGTAAAAATATGTGAATAAATTCATTTTTGGATGACTAGTTGAGAGAGGAGATGGATCGTGTGAAATGAGTTCGAGTTTATAACTTTTGACCATTCAGATGGAAGAGCTTTGGCTATGCTCCGTCAACGGGCAATACAAAGAACACTGAGCGCCAAATTTCGAATTGTAATTCGTTCAACAGAGATTCGTCAGCTCGAAATTTCCGTCTCATGTCATAGAACCTATCTCATCTCTCAACAAGCCATCCGAAAATGGATGCATTCACATATTTTTACTTTCATCAAAGAAGAAGCAANAAATCGAAAAGTAAAATTCTTAATTCAAAAGAAAGATTAATTCATTAACAAACTTCATCTTCATTCACATCATTAATTGTTGGAAGATGAGAACCAACATTTCGTTGTTGAACAAGATTAGTTTCAGTTGAGTAACGTCTTGAGGGAGGTTTTGAAATTGAAAAAATAACTGATTTAGATGGCTTTGATTTTATTACACCTAATTCTCTAATAAGTGCCGATGACGGTCTTCGTTGATCAAGTGTTTGTGTAGATGGTGATACAAGAGGTGTTACTTGTGTATATTGTTTTTCAACTTCATGAACTGTTTCAGGTAATTTGCATGGGGAATGTATATGTGGTAACTGAGATGCAGCTAAAGCAGCTAAACATGAAGCTAATGAATAGACAATGTATGGTAATGGAAACCAAAGAGAATATTGAGTAGCTGATAGTTGTGGTCCTATCATTGCAACAAGACGTGCTATACATGCTGATAAACCAACACCTGTTGAACGAAGAGCTGTTGGATATGTTTCAGTTGTATATACAACAATTAACAATTGACACGAAGATGCTGTTAATTTACCAAGTAAAGCAAACGAAAGACTTACTAAAAGAAAAATTTTAATTCAATACATTAAATTAATTATTTAAATTATTTTTTACTATATGGTTGTTTATCATATGTAACAGGTACAAGTGCTAAAGCAAGAGATGTTGCAATAAAAAATACAATAAGAAGACGACGTCGTTCAACAAGTGATGCAAGTATATGACATACACTAAGACCAATCATTTCACAAATAGCACCAGCTATAAATAATTCATGTGGTTGATTTGTAAGTGCAGGTAATGCACTACTGATACCTTTACAAAAATTCAAGAAAGTTTTTCTTTTTGTAGTAATGGATTTCTTTTTTGATGAAATTTTATAAACAATGATTTAAACAAAAAAAGGAAATATGTCGGAAAAACTACCCTTAGATGATCTAGAAATGTTAATTTGATAATTGGGACATTAAAACAGAATTCTCTAAACATTTGTGAGTTACTATAGATTATCAAATAGAAATACAATGTTGTAGAATTTTTCGTCTTTACTGAAAACCTAAAGTATGAACATCTTCAATTTTCAAATCTCTTTTCGACCGAAATGATGTTAATTTGATGAGTAATAGAAAAGTTTAGAATGGTCTGGTTTTCCAAACCTTACCTGTCGAGATATCAAAATTTTACACAGTTTTTCATTCCTCTCAGGTCGCTTGGAAAATCGATTTTCGATAATCGACTTTAAAATGTACACAAACTAAATATCTAGATAAGATTAGTTAATTGGATAAATTTTAGCTTTTATACCATTTCTTTTCTTTAGATGTAAATATATGAACAAAATTTATTTTTAGACAGGAGAGAATTTCTAATATTGAATATTTCAGAAAAAGATATGTAAAAAAGTTATATTTTGCCTAATGAACTAATCTCATTGTGACCTTGTTTATGCAAAGGTTGAAATCAAAACTCGAAAGTCGATTTTCTAAGCCACTTGAGAGGAATGAAAAACTCAGTAAAACTTCCATATCTCAAGAATAAAGCCCGAAAAGCCAAACTATTCTAAACTTTCCTATTACTAACCAAATGAAAGTCATCTCAGTGGAAAATAGAATTGACACTTGGAGAAGTTCTCTTTAATATACACTAAAAATATCTACTACAATTTGTTGTTAAGCAATTTTATAAATTTCTATATAGTATTATATATTTTACATTCAAATACACTAAATCTTTTATAATATTAAGAACATTATAAAGTACTTTAAAGAAAAAAAAAATGGTGAATCAGTTTGTTCTATTGTCGAAACATACCTAAATAAACAGAAACAGCTACTGACCAAACAGCAATAAGAAGTAAACATCTTTTTTTCATTAATTTCGATTGACAAAGTCGTTTGAATACATTTAAATAAGTTGGAATTTTTTGTTCAGATTCTCTAGCAGCAATAACATCAGTTGGTAAATGTGAATAAAATAATTCTAATCGATCATTTAATGGTCGACGATTTATTAAAAATATTCTTTCAAATACTTTTCTTGCTTCGATAATACGACCTTGTTGTACAAGCCATCGTGGTGATTCAGGTATAACTATATAAATAAATATAAATGGTAAAACATATATATTTAATGACCAATATGTTAATTTATAATCTTTTAATTTTTTTGATATAATAGCTAATAAAATTTGACCTAATGCAAATGAATATGCAAGTATATTAGCAGCTAAAACACGTCGACTTGGTCCAGTTATTTCTAAAAGTAGAACAAGTGAAACAGAATGAAATGTTATTGCAAATCCTTGAAAAAATCGACATATTGTAAAAACAAGAAGTTTATGTGTTGGTGAATATAAAAATAATTGCATTGTATTCAATGCAATAATTAATATAATAACAAGTAAATAAATTGTTTTTCGACGACCCCATCTATCGGATAAAAGTCCTGTTAATATAGATCCAGCTACACCAGCTGAATAAATATTTTGTGTTAATGCTCGTAAATGAAATTTATCACAAACAAGTAAAAGTTCTGTTGTAAGTGTTTCACCATATTTATTCATATCAAAAACCCAACCTTGATCACAAGGTTTCAATGTTAATGAAAATTTATTATCGAGCATTGTACATTTTTTATCATATTCACTAGCTGTCAAATGTAAATTATTAAGAAATATTTTATATGTTTGAGGTGTTTGAGGTGTTTTGTCATATGTATCATTAGGAAATAAACGACAACGATGATCTGGCGTACCAAGATTAAGATCATAGGAAAAACTAACCATTGATGGAACAACAGCAAGAAGACCAATTATAAGAAATACAAATATTTGATAAATACCAAATGAACCTATAAAAACTAATGAACATGAATAGATTTATTCTTTTTAAATCATATGCCTGCATCAGATAATAATCGTTCAACAGTTTTTGTTATAACTGGTGTAGGTTT